GAACTTGCTCTCATACTTTATCATTACGAAAGGCTTTACTAGGTAGAGCATAGTCTCTCATTTTGCTGCATGAGAAACTCAAATTAAAGGAAAAAATAGCATGCAAACACACAGAGAATAACCCAAATCTAATTACAAACCCCAGTTATGGATATTAAATGAGATTTCATATTATTTGAAGGTAATTAAAGAAATATGTGTTTGCTTAATGGGTCTCCTGAGAATAAGAACAGAGATCATTGACCCAAATGGAGAAAACCTTACAAAGATACTTCAAAATTTCATGTGGTCCAAACCACAATCACGAGGTAGATGAGTTTTCCCCTCGTTTTTCTCCCTTCCTCTCAATGCTCTGCTCCATGGGCCGTGGTGCTGGGGTCCTTCTTATGGCCTTTCCTGCAGCAGCTTCCTCACTCACACCCATCTTGTCCCTTCTGGTTTCTCTTTCCGGACCCGAATGTTCAAGGTTACAGTTAGCAGGAGCTCTGCTCCCTTATTGTGTATGCAAACATAGAGCATGCCCTGATTTTGTAGCCCCAATTTTATAATGATGGAGATTTCGTGCCAGTGGCAGAAGGGTGGTTATTTCATATCACATTACAGTCCTAAGCACAATGCAGTTCCCTCTTGCATTAGCAGAGAGAAAACTCAAAGCCATATGTTGACTGCCACTTTCAAATAAATATACCTTATGATATGCATTTTGTGCTCTAAATATACCCTTCATTTTCTCTTATGTTTAAGATTAAACATACATTATGTTTAAACATACATTATGTTGAATGGTTTTTTCTCTTTAACCTTTATTGCATCATTTTTTTCCTTTTTTAAAATTTTTTTAATGTTGTATTTATTTCTGAGAGAGAGAGAGAGAGAGAGAGAGAGAGGGACAGCATGAGCAGGGGAGGGTCAGAGAGAGAGGGAGACACAGAATCTGAAACAGGCTCCAAGCTCTGAGCTAGTTGTTCAAGCCTTACAGATCCCAATGTGGGGCTTGAACCCATGAACTGTGAGGTCATGACCTGAGTCACAGTCAGTCGCTTAACCAACTGAGCCACCCAGACACACCCATTTTTTCTTAATGTATGTATTTTGATAGGTAGAATAAATTCTTCTTGGAACAAGGCCAATTGTATCTTTCAGTTCATATGCATGTATGTTAGCACAAACACCTCTATTCACATACATACTTATACATATACACATATACATACACATATTACATACTTATAAATGAATCCTTATATATATAAGAGTCTATGTTCAACCATCTATTAAGAAAGAGTATTTCAGGGCACCCAGCTGGCTCAGTCGGTTAAGCGTCTGACTTTGGCTCAGGTCATGATCTCACAGCTTGCGAGTTTCAACCCTGTGTCGGGCTCTGCTGACAGCCCAGAGCCTGGAGCCTGCTTCAGATTCTGTGTGTGTGTGTGTGTGTGTGTGTCTCTGCCCCTCCCCCACTCACACTCGTCTGCCTCTCTCTGTATCTCTCTCTTTTTGACTCTCTCTCTCTCTCAAAAACAAATAAACATTTAAAAAAATAAAGAAAAACTATTTCCAGGGGCACCTGGGTGGCTCAGTCAGTTGAGCAGCAACATGGTTTCAGCTCAGATCGTGATCTCACAGTTCATGGGACTTGGTGCTCACAGCATGGAGCCTGCTTGGAATTCTCTTGCTCTCTCCATCTCTCTGCAACCCCCCTGCTTGCTTGCTGTCTCTCTCAAAATAAAGAAATAAACAAGAAAAGAAAAGAAAAGAAAAGAAAAGAAAAAGAAAAGAAAAGAGCATCCCCATGTGCAGCTCCTTACTATCTAGTCCACTGGTAGCTTCTCATCTTCCTCCTACTTGTGGCAAATGCCTGCTGTTCTTGGATCGCTTGAGTCTTCTGTGGCATGAAGTGGATAATTCAGGAAGCAGAACAGTCTTTCTGCTGTAGAGCCAGCCAACTAGAGTTAAATGACATAATCTTGGAATCACTTAAAGTCAACAATGATCTCACAGTTCCCTCTTTCTGTCACAGAATAGTTAGCTTCATTTTTTGGCCAAAATCAGTGTCAAGTTACTTGCTGTGTTTGCCAAAACAAATTCTGTATGTGTTTTTTGTTGTACATATTCCTTTCTCCTCGTTTTATTTTTGTTGTTTAATGTCCTCCACTTCATAGTAGCAACTGTAATAGCAGTAAGGGAGTGAGCCCTCAGTTTAGATTGTTTAAAGAATATTGAATTCTGTTTTATTTAAAATTTTTAATGTTTATTTTTGAGACACAGAGAGACAGAGTACAAGCATGGGATAGAGAGAGAGAGAGACAGAGACAGAGACAGAGACAGAGACAGAATCTGAAGCAGGCTCCAGGCTCTGAGCTAGCTGTCAGCACAGAGCCTGACACAGGGCTCGAACCCACGAACTGTGAGATTATGACCTAAGCTGCAGTCGGATGCTTAACCAACTGAGCCACGCAGGTGCCCCTGAATTCTGTTTTATTTAGATGCATTGTGTCAAGTACATATATTACCAAAAGTTTCAGTGTTTGTACATCTTATCAGTAAAATGATTCTGGCTGATTGGAGGCAGAAGAGAATGTCAAATTAAAAATGAGAAGTCCTCAGTTGCATGCTTAAGTCTCCTGGTTACTAGCAATGACCTTGGGCAAGACAGATGATGCCTGCCGCAACCCATTTATCAGATTTTTTGAAAATGTGATAAAATTGTTTGTAAAAGCACTCTGAAAATGCAAAGCACTAGTCAAATCTAATATATTGGTATTCCTTAATGTTTTTCCTGAAAAGGTGTTGATTTTTGTCAGTGGGTACATTTTGCTTTCCTTCTGTTGGTTTTAACTGACACATGAGTATATTTAAGAATTTGAAATCTATTTTGCGGTTTTACAGTGTCAGAAACCCTGTCAAGCACCTTCGACATGACTTACAGTAAACTAATTTAGGATTTTAAAAAATAGTTGGCATGATTTTCTTTCAATCATTCTAGTCCCACCTAAGTGGGAGACCTAGGGCTTCTCGTTAGAGTCACTTTGTCCCTAGATGATGAGACAGTTATGGAATGCCAATTTTAAAAGAAGGGGTACATGTGTTCTAGAGATCTGTCAAAATCCAGTCCTCCCTTTTCTGTCTGAAAACAATAGCAAATCTTGAGGTAAGGAGAGGAAAAAAATCTGTTTCTTTCCATTTTTACATGTGCCTGTTTTCTTTAATGCAGTCACTCGCCTGCCAAGAAAAACCATCCGTGGTGAGGTCCTTTAAGGTCACGGGTGACAGGCGCCAGGCCCTCCCCTCACAGAGCGCAGGCTGGCTGTGATTTGGTTCTGCTCCTCCTGGCAGCCATCACAACCCTGTGGAGTCTTTTATCTGGATAATATTTATAAGCTCCGGGTACCCCAAACCAGGCGTTCCACCCTCCCCTTGCCTCAACACATTCATTTTGACTTTCCACTGAGTTGCAATGTTTTAAATGCTAGAACTATGTGGTCCTAATAACTTTCTACTATCAAAAATAATATTAAATCCTGGGCACCTTGGTGGCTCAGTCGGTTAAGCGTCCGACTTTGGCTCAGGTCATGATCTCATGGTTCATGGGTTCGAGCCCTGCACCAGGCTCTGTGCTGACAGCCAGCTCAGAGCCTGGAGCCTGTTTCAGATTCTGTGTCTCCCTCTCTCTCTGACCCTCCCCTGCTCTCTCTCTCTCTCTCTCAGAAATAAGTAAAACATTAAAAAATAATATTAAATCTTTGCAGGACTTCTAGGAGTTAAGCCAGAAGAATATTATTTGGAAGTAGTACCTGTGATGTGGCCTGCACAAAAGTTAAGAACGTGTTCCAAAGTCATTCAAGCATCAGGAGCAGAACAAGATCAAGACTCGCACTATTTAATTTGTCATTCACTCCTTAATTCATTTAGCCATCAAGCAATCCTCTATTGAATTGTCCTGTCATTTTTAATAGAAAAATAAATCTATTTAGGGAAAACATAATGGGAGAGAGATTAATTGGGGGCATTTTATTTGAAAATGGCAGAGCAGCAGAAATCACAGAATTCAGAAGGCTTCATGGGTCTTCAGAGAGCAATTGTGTCAATCTTGGGGTATGGGTCCCTGCCTGAGAGATGTCTCTCACTTGGCAGAGAAATATGCTGGATTTATACATGCTGGTGAAGGCTAACGCTGCCATGTAATTATGGAATTACTGTGCTGGCCCCTAATTTGCTGTTCCATTCTGTTACTTCAGACCCAAACTGGAAATATATACAAAGAGAGAGAGAACCTTCGAACATGCCAGAAGATGTAGAATAGCAGAGCTTTTTTTTTTTTTTTTTTTTTTTTTGGTTTTTGGGGGTTTTTTGGTGTTTTTTTGGATTGTTTGGTTTTATTGTAAATTTAAGCAGAATATGCATGCTTTATCTCTTCTGAAAAATCCTTTTTGGAGGATTTCATCTGTGTAAACAGCATGCCCATGAGTCCATGTGGGCAGCAGCTCATACACACTCTTGCACTCGTGCACACACACCCACACACACTCGTGGGACCAGTGCTGAAAGTAGAAAACCCGCCGCTACCACCATTACTTCCAAGATCACATACTGAATTTTCCAAAATCTCTAACAGATGTTTCTGTGGTGCTTCAAATTCAGAAGGATTTGGCTAGAAAGTATATAACGCCATGTCTTGGTGGGCCTGGGGTATCCCTGAAAGGCAACTGGATAGGGCCACTTGTTATTGATGTTCATGGACCCACAACGGTCAAAAGTCAGTTAATAACATGCCACAAGGCTACTACTCTCCACTGGGCCACAGTCACGTCTGCAGAAACAGCAATGTCATTTGCTCCTCGATTGGCCAGACCCTAATCTCTATCTGTGAGATGAAAATGACCAGCTTGCACCCTTTTGTCACAACAGTTCTGGAGAAAGATAAATGAAAATATGTGGCTAATGACATTGTATATGTGTTTCTTCCTTGTCTCCATTGTTTGCCAACAATATCCACACAGCTTTAGCCCAACGTGCCATTTAGACCGAAGTCTTGGATTGATTTGTGATGCATGTCGTGTTGGGTACACGGGACCACGCTGTGAGAGGTAAGCATGCACCACACTGTCTTTCAACATGATTTCTACCTTGGGAGCTGTAATACCAGAGGCATTATCCGTCGTTCTGGTTCCGAAAAGCTGCCACACTCACTGAGGTGAAATCAAGTTTCTCACTGCGTGGGTCAAACAAGTGCATTTTGTTTTCATAGTTTATTTATTCTCTAGAAATTGCTCTATAAATCTCCATTCACTCAGAGAATGTTTGATTAATGTTTTAATCTTAAAGCTTAAGCATTAACCTACAATCTTTCTAGAAAGTATTGCTCAAGTGGAAAGTCATGCACTTTAAGATTTATCTTACTGTCTATGTTGGCACCATTTATTTTTCATAATTAGATTTTTGTTCTTAAAATGTGGCTTAAATGTGTGGTTCATAGTTCAGCAAGTGGTCTATAATTCACCTTAAATATATTTGAAAATAGAAATAAAATATGATTTATCATCATGATTTATATCCTCCTCTAAGTACTTCTAAGCCAGTATTTTAATTCCTGTTGATTTTATTTGCTTTGCAGTGGAACCATAGATAGCATTTTATGTAATTTGTGTGATTATTTTTCATCTGAAAAATTTGTAAAAGATTTTTCTGTATTTCAGTCTCTGTGTAGAAGTGGAAGGAAATTCTCCCTTGATATCATTGACAAGTATACCAACATCTCTCTGGTTTTAGCACTGAAAATAATCCCCTTTGCTGCCATCACTGGGGGGAGGGGAAAGCAGAGGAAGTGACCTGCGTTCACCAATTATCACCAAAGCAAACACCACAGACGGCCATTTCTGCCCATCCTTTCCTGTCCCCTGTCCCCTTATTTCAACCAGGGTGCATAAAGTTAATGAAGCAGGAGCCAATCACCCAGAGAGAATATAGCCAACAGCTAGCAATCTACAGACAAAGTGACCATGACAGTTCCCAATAGCAACAAGTACTGTTTGTGAGCATGGCGACATCTGTAAATTAGTAATGGAAGAATAGAACTGAAATAAGGATGATTTATTTGCAATTGAGAAACTGAAGGCCTTTGTGTGAAATAAAAAAAACAAAAAACAAAGGAGGACCCATGTATGTTACTTACTGTAATAGCAGAACATATCATTGCCAAGACAGATTTACATCAAATGCCTACCCCCCCGATTCACTACAGGCAACCTTTTTTTTTTTTTTTTATCAACTAGAAAATGACAGTTGTTCTTTCATACCATGACATTAATTCCCACTTATCTAGGTGAGCATTGTCTCTGATGGATTTGTACTGCTTTGCTTCATGCTCTGTGCTTTCCATACATGGTAGACAATAATTTTTGAATCACCTACACTTTGAAATTCTACATTTTATTTAACAAACATCAGTTTAGCAACTACCATGTGCCAGGTACTGGACTAGGTATAGGATATAAACAGATGCATTATACCATCCTCACCTTCAAGCAGCTCCCATCTTTCATGTGGATGAAAATGGTTGACTGCATTCTGGAGACAATTCTAATCTGAATCATAAACATTACCAAGGAAGGAAATAACTGGCAGTAAGCATGATTTTCTGTTTAAAATCTTTATTAATCTGCTCAAGACGAAAATAGAAATGGGCATATGTAAGCTAATCAAATGAAACGTCTTATCTCCAAGTTTTTCCATCAAAAATAATGTTACATGATTATTGTATGGAAGATGGAATATTATATTTTTCTAGCCAGAATTTGGATTAGGGATTTCCAGGAATATTTAGGGTTTCTCATTTGTTTGTATTGATATGAGCTCAAAAGTCTATTATGAGATGGATCCAAAATATTAGGAGAAACATTTGGGGGGATGTTCAGGCTGAAGTAGAAGGAAGGGAGAATAAGGGTCAGAGCAAGAAGGAGAAACTGGTTACATTGAAACTCTTGTAATCAGACCCATTCTGTAACTGATTGGTGTAATCAGTTTGTGCACATAATCTACATAAAATCAGCACTGGAGAATTTGAGCAGTGTTTCCCAAACTGTAGATGTTTTTGGAATAGAGTTCTGTGATCACGCAAGTAAAAGTGTCTATTAGCATGTAAAAAGTTCTGACATGTCCTGGATGGAAGAAATCTGTTTAATGTGTTTAAATCAGCATTTTCTTTTCTTTTCTTGAAGTGAAACTGACACACAATGTTACATTAGTTTCAGGCATACAGCATAGTGATTCAAGTCTGTATATTATGCTCTAACTCAGCATTGTCTAATCTTGTGTGTCCATAAATTCCTGATTTTTTAAATCTGTAGCAAGAATGGACTTCAGGTGGACAGGAATTATAACGTTATATTCTTGATGTCAATCTAATTTCTATTGTGAGACCAAATCTTCATATGTGGGAGCTGTGAGAGCCTGGAAACATAATCGCAGTCGCGTACACTTTAAATTTACTCAGTGTCATATGTCAATTACTGTAAAAATTTGTGGGTTTTCTTGAGTTTTTTTTCCTCTTCTCCCCATCTCCCAGGCTTGAACCAAAGTTCTAACAAGCTTACTTAGTACCAACAAGCTTGAATACCTGAGGGAATGAGTGTGGGTGTGGCTGAGTGTGTGGCTATAAGTTTGTGTGTGTGTGTGTGTGTGTGTGTGTGTGTGTGTGTGGCCATGAGTTTATGTGTGCTCTGTGTGTATGTCTGTGAGTGAGTGAGTGAGTGTGTGTGTGTGTGTGTGTGTGTGTGTGTTTGGGGGCAATGGATGGATGGCGAGCCAATCAGTCCTGAGTAATTCATCCAAGAGTATTTTTGCTGACCTCTTCCTTTTTCCTGTCTTCCTGACCACCTTTCCCTTCAGACCTGCTGGACCACTTGTGGGGATACAGGATTCATTCTGCTGCTTTCACTCCACACTGGGACTGACCAACTCTATTCTCATCCTTTCTCCTCCATCTGCCTTTCCACCTTCACATCATTTTCTGTTGGGGGATGAATTGCAACAGAAAGGGTCACATTCATAGAAATGGTGACTTTTGGAGCCCGACGTCTAGAAGATTCCTGTGTTTCTGCTTTGGTCTTTGTCAGATCCCTTCACTCAGTCATGTACCACAATGGTCTTGCTTCTAGAATTGAGGGAATGAAAACAATCATGAATACAAGGGCAGCAAAACAAGATATGACAAAATATTGTCTAATATTCTTTTTTTTTTTAGTTGACACACAGTGTTACATTATTTTCAGGTGTACAACATAGTGATTCGACAACTCTATACATTATGCTATGCTCACCACCAGTGTACCTACAATCTGTCACCATCAACACTATGACAGTATCACTGGCTATATTCCCTATGCTGTACGTTGCATCTCCATGACTTATTCATTGCATAACTGGAAATCTATCTCTCACTCCCCTTCGCCTATTTTATCTGTCCCCCACCCACCTCCCCTGTGGCAACAGTGTTTCCTCTGTATTTATAGGTCTGATTCTGCCTTTGCAAGTTGTTATTCGCTTAAAATATTGACCAATATTCTATAACATGTAGAACACAAGTTACACTTCTCAGAAACTTGCCTGGGGTCACAGCACGTATACTTTCAAGTATTACTACTTTCCTCTGGAGAATGTTTTAAACAAAAGAAAAACAAAAGTGGGGTAAGGGAATGAGGTATTCACCATGGTACTTTGCTAAGATTCTGGGTATCTATCATCTGGTCACGAGGGAAAAAAGATAGAAAAACAAAGAGAAAGTAGCTAGAAGCGCAAAAAGGGCTGAGTGTCGGAGCATCAAAAGAAATTTAAAATGTGGAGAAAAGGTGAGCTAAATGCTGATGACACCTTTTTCTCCTGGGCACTAAGCTACTTTCAGAGTAAGTTTGTAGCCTCACCAACATATTCTTAATGGAGAGACACCTAAAAAGACTGTGGCAAATTGACCCAATGGGATACATAGAACCACATTAAACTTAATGAGCTGTGTGGACCCCTTTAATCCGGTCCCCTCTCTGGCTGCCCAGTTTTTAACAACTCCTCTGCAAGTGAGGGGAGAGAGGTCAATGTCAAGACAAATTTCACAATGGTCCCTGAGCATACAAAAAGTATTAGAGCCTAGTATCTTAAAATTTGGAAAATACATCTACAGTTTTATCCACATTTCATATTCTAGATCAGAAAATTTTACTTTTGCTTTTTAAATTTCAATTCACAAATCTTACTTAGGTATTCTCTGCTTCATATATTTCTGACTCTGAATTGAGTCTAACTGCCCTGTTACCAATGGGTTGGTGAGAATTTCTACTCTTGTCCGAATCTCCTTGAACCATGGAGGTCCCAATGCAGAGTGTGGAGTTACAGAAAATTAAAGCAAGACAGTCATAGTTAACTTGGTAGCACCATTAGGAAAATTGTGATGCCAGGAAGGTTCCAACGTCTTCTCCGATGTGGTTGTGCAGTTTGTATACCGCACAGAAGTACTCAGCCAAGGGAGAGATTGGGAGCTAGAGTCCAGGGTACTCAGTATGTCCACTGTCTCTTCACTTTTCTGCAGATGCTCAGCAAGGACCCCCTTTTTTTTTTTTCTAATTTGCAGGAAGGAACCACATAAGCAGGCAAACTCACTCAGCCTTTAGCTGATTCAGCCACCTGTGTTACTGCACAGCCCTTGCCGTTTACACCTCAGCCACTCTCCCTCTGTGCCTTTGCCAGTCCTGGTCCCTCTGACTAGACTGCAGTTCTTCACTCCTCCACCTGAAGCTAACCCTGCTCAACAGTTAAAATTCACCTCTAGGGGCACCTGGGTGGCTCAGTCAGTTGAGCGGCGGACTCTTGATTTTGTCTCAGGTTCCTGAGAATGAGCCCTATATTGTGCAGAGCCTGCTTGGGGTTCTCTCTCTCTCTCTCTCTCTCTCTCTCTCTCTCTCTCTTAAAATAAATAAACATGTAAAAAATTAAAATTCAACTCTATCAGCCCAAAAGTGTCCTTGATGAATCCTAATCTGAGTTAGTTGCCCTTCTCTGTGTTTTTCACGAGAACATTGGCTTATCTCTAGTAGCTTCCTGCCTCATTGTTAAGCTCATCTGTCTTCTCTGTAGACTGCAGTGTAAAGGCTGTGCCCTGTTTATGTTAGTACGATGAAGAAATGCTCAGTAGGTTTTGAAGGAGGGCTGGAAGGGAAAAAGCAAGAGCTTTTCTATTTTGCTCATAGAGATTGAAGCACTGTTTTCAGTCTATGGATAATGGGAACAGAGGCCACGTATTTTAGCAAGAAGTTATTGCAAAAATGATGGAGCAGAGTAAGAGAACTCTTGCCAATGTGCTCTAGCTTCTCACCATTATTTCACTCTTTTTGTCCTTTTTCTCGCCCTCTCATGGCTTTTGCTAATTCTGTTCCTAAGTCATCAATGGAGGGAACCATTTTACATAACTGCCTGTGGTATCTAAAATCTCATTACGTTAGAGGATCTCTTTGTAAAATATTGCAATTGGACATGAAAAGAGTTAGCAGATGTGGAAAGGAGCAGTGGCTTTGTATTGTCAGGATGTCTAACTGTGGCAAGGCATCCAATAAACCGTGCTAAAAAATATCCTCATTCTGTCTTGCGTACAGAAATGAGAGAATCTGAGATTTCAAGTTACAATTCATTTGTGGAATGAAAATCCAACAGGCTGGCAAGGTCTAAAGAGCTATCATTCACGCTCATTTTAATTAAGTGAATCCAACTCGATCTGTCTATAAAACACTATTATTATTAACAAAAGTTATATCATTAGCAGGATAATATTCACTGACTCTAGAATTACTTTGTAATTTACTGAAACATTTTTATGTCTCTAAAGCTACCACTATTCTGTGTGTGGAAACACACATATATATACCAGTAATAGAACCTGGTTGTATATATTCAATAAGCTTTCTTCCATGTCCTACAACAACAACAAAAAGATGCTTCTTCAGTTATTCTACTTAATTGCAATTATTTTCTCATGAACTAAAGGTTCTTTCCATTGTAGGAGAATTTTGGACTTATTAATTGGTATCTATGTTAAGAAAATTCCCCAGATCTTGTTATATAATGCCATCTCTCCTGAGGGCAGTAAGTCACTTTGAGGAAAGTGAGCTGAAAATAATGGGTTTTCGTTGGCTGTGATAATGATCATTGCGTCCTGTTATTCTAGTGAAGCAAAGTCACTCTCTTAATAGTAAACAAAATGAGATGTGAGTATATATGGATATGATCATAAGCTCTGAATATCAAGTAAGGCAAGGAGAATTGGGTTAAAATTCTAAAGTATCTTATTATCTTTATGGAAAACCACTTCTGAAAGGATCGTGGGGGAAATTTTATGCACTAGAATGTTAGTTCAGATTTTACAATAGGTAATTAATAAGCAATTACATTTGTGGGTGACAGAATTCTTCTAAGCAATATTAATAACATGACTTCCACAATTTATACAATATTTTGTGAATGTAATGAAAACTAGTAATTTCAACTTAAATTTTTGATAAAAGGTTAATTCTCTATAAAACAAGATAATTATGGCACTTACACGTGTTCTAGAAAATGTAGAATGATTAATGACTTTACTCCATGATTGCGATGTTATTAAAATATCCTCATATGATATAATGGATTTAAATCATTATTTCAAATGGTAGAGAGCATTTTTCTACACAGTGACTTCTATGTCCGTGAGTAGATGAGCATAAAAGTAGTGGACTATTGAAATTATATTCCCCCACATTGGTTTTGTTCCTTCCCTAGAAGGATCCTTCAATTTTGAGCTTTGCTGTAAAAGACAGATGACAGAGCCAGCCTGACTATAAGCCTGTAGACACACTGTTTTCTTTCTTCATTCACAAGTGTGGCTTAATATGAAGCATGAGCAAACGTAACTGAAAGAGAAGGCAGAGTAGAATATAAATCAATGCCTCCTAAAAGCGTGGATCTGTGCGTCTGTGACACTGAGTAGCATTTTGAAACAACATATGGATAAAGGGAAATTTGATAATATAATTTAAAAACTCTCCTCTGCTATGCCTCATAAATAAACAAACTTGTTTTTCCTATATATTGTAGAGTGGTATCTAGTCCTTTAAGAAAAGAGACCTACAGGTTGCTAATATGAGCTGTAGGCACAATTAAGCATCACCTTATGGCGCGTACATGAGATGCAGGCATACCTGCTTCTCGGCAAAGGTTCTTCAATGAAAATCTGACTCTGCCTGGATATGCAAATGTATACAAACCCATTATTAAGTCAGTGATACCCACAGCCCCCACTTGAATAATAAGGAGAAGCTTTTGAGTCACAATTTTCTATTTAATAAATTCTGAATTCTCGCTGCAGAATTTCCTTGTAAGCCTGTTTCCTCATAACAAGCTTTTGCTACAACAACAAAAAATGTGAACCTTACATATTTGTACAGAAAACAACCAGCTGGAGTAGATACATATGATGTGTTGCACTACAAAGGCTTTCCAACATGGACCTGGATTCCTCTGGAGTGCCAGCAGCAGATTTCTTATTATGCTTTGGTCTCGTCTTCAGTGCCAGTGACAAGATTTTTTTTTCTGGCTGAAATCTAATTACTAGTGCGGCTGGCAGGATTTCATCTGGTATCTACACTGCAGTTACAGAAAAACATTTTTTAATCACCTTGCATTTGAGAAAAGGAACACTTGAAAGGAAAACGTACTATCCTGGGAGAGGATGGTGTGAAACATACATAAATGTTGCTTCCGGTGGGCTTTATGAGTTCCTCCCAAGTACTCACTGATGAACTTTTCCCCCTTAGGTGTGCAGAAGGCTATTTTGGACAACCTTCTGTACCTGGAGGATCATGTCAGCCATGCCAATGCAATGACAACCTTGACTTCTCCATTCCTGGCAGCTGTGACAGCTTGTCTGGCTCCTGTCTGATATGTAAGCCAGGTACAACAGGCCGGTACTGTGAGCTCTGTGCTGATGGATATTTTGGAGACGCAGTTGATGCAAAGAACTGTCAGCGTAAGTCCTGAACTATTGACGCCCCTGAGAGAATTGATGCATTGCACCTCAAAGCAGCTGATGAGTTCTTGAGTGGGGATTGGAGGGTAGGAAATTATGTGCAATACATGTGTGATAGATGCACAGCCTATACGCAGAGTCTGCATACTCTAAAAGATTCCTTTGTACTAATAGAGTAAATCCTTTGAAAATGGCTGCATTGTCAAAGTGTTGTTTTTCAAAGGATGCACATATTTTTATTTACATGTGGAAGGAAGATTTTAAAATCAACTTATGTCCGTGGTAAGAGAGAAGAATTTAGAAAAACTAGGGAAGTCCCACTTATTATTTATCTCAATTGTAATCATTTTCTTAAAGTGAATTTATCTGTCCATATTATTGCTTTAGTACCTGTTTGGGGGTGTTAATCTGTTATGCTTTCATATGTGAACTCCACATTCTTGCATTTGATAAGAGGTGCCCATATTTCTACACACTGGCATTTGTAACTGTTGAATGATTGACCTTCACCTTAGGACTATTCACAGAATGATATTTCTGTGTTCCCTTTCACAAAACTAGCTCTTGTAGGGCTTCATTCATGTTCATTAGTGCATTTCTCCTGTTCTGTCCACTTCCCTAGCTTCATTATTCAGTGTTGCATAGAATCAAATAATGCTTTATATTAGCAGTAGTACAATATGCAAGGGAAATCTTGAGCAGAGTCCAGGGGAATGTGAATCCACGTCAGCACCTAAGAACTTTATGTGCCATCCTCGACTTTACCTGCTGTCATAATCTTTATGTAGAGCCAGTTACGATGCCAACACTTCACACTGTCAAGTTCATTATGTAAGAAGGGACCCTTCCAGTCATTCTGTTGGGACCTATGACCTGCAAAATTATAAAGACTGCTGGAAATGTAGAGTCTTTTATTGTGTCTTCTGTGAAGACCAAAGACCTCCTAGGACACCTCACTTCAGTAATAAACCTCATAGGTTTGGAAGATGAGTGCCAGTTTTTTGTCATTTGAAAATGACAGCTTGTTAAATCAAAAACAAATCACCCTGAGTGGCTCAGTCAGTTAAGCATCTGACTTCAGCTCAGGTCATGACCTCACAGTCTGTGGGTTCAAGCCTTGTACTGGGCTCTATACTGACAGCTCGGAGCCTGGAGCCTGCTTCAGATTCTGTGTCTCCCTCTCTCTCTCTGCCCTTCTCCTGCTCACACTCTATTTCTCTCTCAACAATAAATAAACATTAAACATTTATAAAAGACAACAAATTACTCTCTAGGACAATAAACATCTATTTGATATCACCTATAAATTAGTATTTTTTAATATTTTTAAATGTTATTTATGTATATTTGAGAGAGAGAGAACACAAGCAAGGGAAAGGTAGAGAGAGACACACACAGAATCTGAAGCAGGCTCCAGGTTCTAAGTTCTGAGCTGTCAGCATAGAGCCCAACTCAGGGCTCAAACCCACGAACCATGATACCATGACCTGAGTTAAAGTCAGATGCAAAACTGACTGAGCCTTCCAGGTGCCCAGTATTTTTTTAAAGGCAAGATTTCCAATAGGTACAAAAGTACCCTTTATCTGTATAAAATCATAAGGGGCTTAAGAAATTCTCCCATTCAAAGGCATCATCTACAGTCAACACTTTCTAGCCATGTGACCCTGGGCAAGACAGGTGACCTCACTGAGATTCAGTTTCCTCATGTGCATTAAGAGTCATGATTTTCTGTGGAGATTAAAGGATCCAGCACAGAGAGAGTGTCCATTGCACCTCTCAGCCTGGGATGCTTACATGTGGTAGTTCCTTTGGTAGCACTGCTCATAGTAGTTGTATTTGTGGTTCACTCATTTTAGGGCTGTGTTCATTGTTTAATGACCTCTTTTTCTGTCTCCCAATAACCCCCTCCATAAAATTGAGGAGACATTGTTCCACCCATTTTATTGTGGTAAATTAGGGATCTGTGGTATAAGAATACATAGGAGAATATGGTATAAAAACAGTTTTGAACAATTACCAATTTTTATACCGCTTGCCATGAAGTACATATACCAAAGATGAAGGTTTTTAATGCTCTTCAAGATATAAAAAGTAAGAAATATACTTATTTTCATAACTGTTTATACATATAATAGTGTATCTGTGCATAGGTAGTGAACCATCAAGAAAAGAAAATTCATGATAAGCTGTTATTTTAGTTGCCTCTAGGTTGTTCATGAAGAGTACACTACTACAAAGAAATGTATTTTGCTTTTTCAATTTAGGTTATTGTTTGTGTCCTACATTTCATTTAAAAATGACACTTAAAACTTTATACTGCCTTTGTGGGTTTTCTTTCAAGTTTTTATTTTAATTCCAGTTAGTGAACAGATAGTGTAATATTAGTTTCAGAAGTAGAATTCATCACTTAACATAAAATACCCGGTGCTCATCACAGGTGTCCTCCTTGATACTCATCTCCCATTTAACCCATCTCTCTATTCACCTCCCTCCATCAACACTGGGTTTGATCTCTATAGCTAAGAGTCTGTTATTATGGTTTGCCCCTCTTTTCCCCTGCTACATTCATCTGTTGTGTTTCTTAAATTCCACTTATAAGTGAAGTCATATGATATTTATCTTTCTCCTACTGACTTACTTTGCTTAGCATAATACACATCATTGCAAACAGCAAGATTTCATTCTTTTTATGGCTGAGTAATATTCCACTGTATGTATGTATGTGTGTGTGTGTGTGTGTGTGTGTGTGTATGTATATATATATATATATATATGTATATATACACCACATCTTCTTTATCCATTCATTAGTCAATGGACATTTAGTCTCTTTCCATAAGTCAGCTATTGTTGATAATGCTGCTAATAGACTTTGAGGTGTGTGTGTCCCTTCAAATCAGTATTTTTGTATATTTTGGGTAAATACCTAGTATTTGGTGAAGATGTGAAAAAAGAACTCTCTTAAGCCAATGTTAGTGAGAATGCAAACTGGTGTAGCCACTCAGTTTTGGCAATTACTAGATCACAGAGAAGTTCTATTTTTAACTTTTTTTGAAAGAGAGGTGAAGGGGAGGGGCAGAGGAAGAGAGAGAGAAAATACTAAGCAGATTCCACGCCCAGCAGAGAGCCCCATACGGTGCTCCATCTCACCACCATGATATCATGACCTGAGCCAAAATCAAGAGATAGATGCTTAACTGACTGAACCACCGAGTCACCCCTATTTTAACTTTTTGAGAAACCTTCATACTGTTTTCCAGAGTGGCTACACCAGTTTGCATTCTCACTAACATTGGTCTAAGAGAGTTCTTTCTTCACATCTTCACCAAATTTTTCTAATGGTGTTAATTTTAGCCATTCTGATAGGTGTGAGGTGGTATCTTATTATGGTTATAACTTGTATTTCGCTGATGATGAGTGATGTTGAGCATCTTTTCATATGTCTACTAGCCATCTGTATGTCTTCTTTGGCAAACTGTCTATTCATTTCTTCTCCCCATTTCTTTACTGGCTTGTTTTTGGGTGTTGAGTTTGATACATTCTTTATAGATTTTGGATACTAACCCTTTATCTGACATGTCATTTGCAAATATCTTCTCCCATTCCAAAGGTTGCCTTTTAGTTTTGTTGATTATTTCCTTCACACTGCAGAAGGTTTTTTTCTTTTTTTTCTTTTTTTTTTTTTGCTTTTACTTTTTTTTTTCTAATAGTTTATTGTCAAATTAGTTTCCACATAACACTCAGTGCTCATCCCCACAAGTGCCCTCCTCCATGCCCATCCGCACTCCCCCCCACATCTATCAGTCCTCAGTTTTTGTCATCATTCAAGAGTCTCTCATGGTTTGCTTCTCTCCCTTTCCCCCACCATTCCCCCCCTTCTTCTCCCCCTTGTTACTCTGTCAAGTTCCTCCTAATCCTCCTATACATGCAGACATATGGTATTTGTCCTTCTCTGCCTGACTTATTTCACTCAGCATAACACCCTCAAGGTCCATCCGTGTTGCTACACGTGGCCAGATTTCATTGTTTCTCATTGCCATGTAGTATTCCATGGTATAGATAAACCACATCTTCTTGATCCATTCATCTGTTGATGGACACTTAGGCTCTTTCCATGTTTTAGCTATTGT